TCCATCTATATGTAAAGGATATCTTAACCTCCGTTTGCGATATCTTTGATTCCCAACACAGCAGCAGTAAGGACTTGTCGCGCGGGTATTTCCCGCTGCCGGCGCCTTCCTTAAACCGCCTGTAAAACCCGTAAATCTTTGACATTGACCGCGAGTCCCCCTTACTGCTGCTCATGTGAGTGTTATTAGTTGCATGGTTCCATGTAGGCTACTACGCTACCCATGGTGGAATGATAATGTGATGAGAAAACCATGGACATGCTAGAAGGACTGCCGAACACCCTAAAAAGGTGGGTAGCTCCCTAACTCCTCCACTCCATGTTCCCTGTGCTAAGGAACATTAGGGGTTGATGATAGAAACTAAGGAAACACAGCTTTCCCACCACCATGAAAATAATATGTATACTGTCATATAACAGATATCAGAGTGCACACCATATATCTATGAAAAAGTTAACTAACAAATTGTACAAATTAGTGTAAAGTTTTGTAGGTCTACGGAGGTCTACTGAGGTCTACTGAACTTACTAATTAATGCAATTTCTTACCAAGTTTTTCAAGGATAATGATATGCACTCTAGTCTATGGATATCAAAAGATTTGTTTGCCTACCCATCACCAGTAGGATATTCTATTGTTCCTGGAGGAAGAGTAGTGGGTGTCAAGGTATTATTGATGGCCGCTGTTATTCTATTGGATTGATCATAGTGAAGGAATGATGTAACATCAGCTTCAAATGGTAAGTGCCCTCCATTGTGTTGCATGAGTTCTTTGCCATTAACCCACTAAAAATTAAAGCAAAATGGGAAAAAATCATCAATTGGAATTTTAAATCTTGAATTTGTTCAATGTAAGTTGAAACAACAGAGGTCTTGGGCTCAATTTCTAGACTATTGCATTACATGAGAGCAGATTTGATTTGAGGGTTTTATTTTAGGTTCTCCCATTTTTCTTCCCTGCTACCAGAATCTATTGTTTCCTTTGGTATTAATTATGGGGGAAAAATAAACTCTTCTGATGTAGGACATTATATTTTTTCCACACGTGTGTGGTAACTTAGCAATGCTATAGAAATCCTCCAAATGATTGTGACAGCTGCTGCATCAAATTATACTGCTTATGTGCATTATGTGAGTCTGGTAAAAAAATTCATTTGTCCACAACAATATTGTGGAAAGCAGTAAATCAAGAGAAACATTTAACATCTCTGCAGTCTTCCTCCTCTCCACCTAAAGAAGGGAGAGAAGGAGGAAAGACTGCTCACAGGGGGAGCATTTTTCTCCCTCCACAAAGTGCAATACTCATCACATCTCATGCATAATAACTCTTTTTTACTTACCACAATGCTGTAATAATGTGCACTTTCAAATCGTAACACCACCCTTGTGTCGTTATTCCTCCATGAACTGGGAACAAAGACTTCCCGTTCATACCATGCCCATCCAATGAAATCCCTGAGAGATTTGTCTTGTGTGATATCATTATAACTTGATGGAACAGGCATGGGAATCACACTCCCTGACTGAAAGTTCAAATGTCAAATTTAAAATTGTTAGAATGTGATAGTCTCAAAAACATTCAGGCATAAGCATAGAAAGTTGAAGCTCATTTTTTACAGCAGGGGCAGTATATGCCAGTATATTACATGAGGTTGTCAGGAAGCTGCATTTCTGATAATAAAGTTCTAGCATGATACAGAGGATCTCTGCAATGAAATATTCAAAATTGCTTAAAACTCAAAAGGATCAGTAAATGCTGTAGTGTAGTGCTCAGGACATTGGTATCCCCTAATAGGGCTTCCATAGTAATGTCTATAAAGAAAGTAGTGACCTTTTTATGATTGGCTTCCTGTGGTGTTAGAAGTAAAATTGTCATTCAAAAGGAGTAATTGAAGAGATAGATTTCAAAGTGTCTATAAAAAAAAACTTAAATAGAGTGCATACAGTCAAACTGTTGAATTGTTGATGTCACCTAAATTAGATAAGTTAGTTACTATTTTAGCTGACCTCACATAAATTTGAACTACGAGTATAAACAGCTACTGAGATCAGGAGGAGAAACGATAATACACATGAATGTCTATTCACTCATTCTCTGGTAAAACAACTCATCCGGATTAGCATGACCATTATTTGGCGTGCTTTTGCTATTTTAGGTGACGTCAATTAAATAGTTATCTAAGTTAGATACATTTATCTAACTATTCAACAGTTTGACTGAATGGACTCTACTATATTTGTAAATAACTCCAAGTAATTTGTTTTGTCAAAGAAGACAGGTACTGCAGAATTTTTGAAGGTGGCACACTGCACTTCTAGCGGAAATTCGAATATTTTTTTACCAAACTCCAACAATTTTTTTTTTTCAAAACAAAGGCCCACCTTTGGTGAACAAAATTGGGATACTATTTTACTTTATCAATTCCAGAATATATGGAACCTTTATTATTTTTTAATCCCTAAAGACTTTCCAATGTCATTCCAACTATATATTCTTTAGTTAATAATTTAAATATTTGACGTCTATAAAGTTGGGAACATTCAAGTGGTCTCACTTTTCAATTCTTATTACATATGCTCCATGCAATATCATTTAAATCTCTTTTTGCAAGAGGTTAAGATCTTATACATATACCTTAACAGTTAAAATATTTTTTCCGGAGATATAGGAATCCCCTTTGTGATCAAATCTACCTTCAATTTTCTAAATAATTCATATCGCATGTTCTTGGATGAAAAGAGAAACCTTATACCTTATGAACGTTTCTTTAAGTTTAGCAAAGCTTAAAATATCCTTAATATTAACAATATACCTTTGATAAAGGCTTTGAAAACCACGCATTTTGGAAACCAGCTTGTCTGTTTTCCGATCTGTCTGCTCGGAAATCCCAGATTCCATTGACTTCCTTCACCTCTCGGCTTTCAGATTCTCTTGGATATAACATCCCTGGAAGAGTGGATGAAGTCGAAGGGAGGAAACATCCTACTATGACTGAGATCAGTTGTAAAATCGTCCGTGATCGGAGCATTTTTTTCTACCGTACTGTTATATTTACTGCATTAGAACTAACATTATCCTTCGATCACGCGCGTTTTTCATGTTTATCTTTGCCGCAAGGAGTTATGGGAAATTTTAAAATGCGCGCGAAAAATTAAATCCCTTTGAAATCAACCTAATCACTTATAAATACACCAGTTTTGAATTCTTTGTTCTACGGGGTTTATATCCTCGATTTCGTAAAGAATTACTTTTAATATCCACGCATTCCAGTCGGTGGCATTTCAAAGTGTTTTGTATACTATTGTTGAAGTTGTGCATTCTTTACTTTACCGTTGATATTTGTGAATTATTCTGAGTAATGTGTGCTAACCCTGTATAAATAAGTCTCTAAATTACCAAGGAATAAAACGCTTTTCAACTAATTAGAAAATTATGACATGAAAAAGAAAGGCTTTAGTTTTGACAGCCTTGGAGAACGAACGGGAAGAGGGGGGTAGGTTGGGATGTGGGGTAGCTGGTCAATGTCATTTTAGAAATCCCAAATCCCCTTTAATAATTATTTTCAAAATTAATATGGAAAAACCCCTATAAGGTAAATCATATTTATTTATTTATTTGAAGAAAAAAAACAACAAAAAACAACAAAAAAAACAACAAAAAACAAAAAAAAAAAAAAAAAAAAAAAANAAAAAAAAAAAAAACAACAACAAAAAACAAGAATCACAAACAAAACATTTTTGCAAAGTTTATTTCAAATCTACAGGTCAGACAAAAATTGACCACTACTCATAAGTATCTATAAAGTGGGGTCATGGATTGTAAAAATTGCTGTATTTTGGTATAATTGATTTGCAATTGGATTAATGCTAATTGCTCTTGAATATTTAATGAAAATTGTGCTTGATTCGCTTGATAAGAAAAATAAAATTAGATTAAAATATAGCATTTTTTACAACACATGATCCCACTTTTTGATGATCTACTATTTTAAGAAAATCGAAAATAACTGTCTTCCTTTTCTACTCTTTCCCCCTAGATAACTCACWGTTAGTTCACTTTTTGGTTTGATCTGGCAGACATTTATCATGTTCACCTAGTCTTCATGTATCACAATACCAGCTTGTATAATAAAAATGAAAAATGATTTAATATGATAATATTTTCCATGTGATAACTAGTATTATGACAGTTTTGCTCTCTTTGGTGCCTGTAAAAACAACGTTTAAAAAATTAGTCAGTTTAAAACTTTATAAGATCCTCTTTAACATTTCACTTAACTACAAAATTATCATTAATACACTTCTCGTGCTTGATATGAAGTTGATAACAGGTATGTTGTGCTATAACCACAAAAGTGCTAGTTACTGTAACATTAGCTATTGTCATTATTATGCCAACCAGAGATAGATTCACTGACGAAACAAATGAATGTGACAAGAACTATTGTGATAATGGTTGGCAAACTAACATTACAATGCTATGTTAGCAAATAGACCTAATCTACTGTTTTCCCATTTCAACCATGTGTCATTCCCTAGAGTAATATTTCTTTGTTTAACAGTTGTACATTAGAAGACACATGAATTTGGATACAACTCGAACAAGGAATCGTATTCTCGAGAGAATGACATGTGGTCTGAAATGGGCAAAATACTATGCCCAAATGGATTAGGTCAATGCCAGCTCGTGGTATAGACATGCATTGCAGTACACATAAGCCTCAAATGGCTCAACTGAAAGTTTGGCAAAGGAAAAATCTGCTCTGATAGATATTACTCACTCGGGAATGAGGAGGAAGCATACTGTCCTCTCCAGATGGAAACATTATCTTCTTTGCTTTTGAGATAACTTCATCATCCTGGTGATATCAATCAATCAATCAATCAGTGCAGTGCCTGTAGTGGGTGTGTGGGCCACAGAAATTAAACAAATTAAAGACAGAATTTAAACTTTAGCAGTATACCTGTAGCCATGGATGTTTCAGGGCTTCATCCACTGTGATTCTTTCATCAGCTTTTACTGTTAGTAACTTCTTAACAAGATCTTTTGCTGTAGGGAAATAGGAGTAGCAATTCGAAAAATGACTCCAAAATTAAAGAAAAATAACTATCTATAACAGTCCCCTTCAGAGTTCCCTGTGGCATTTTGAAAGGCAACCATGCCTGTGCGTCAATGTGAGGTGGCTTTAGAATAATAGAGAACTCCTTTAAACTCTTAGGATAATTATTTATGTCTCCATCATTGCAACGTCACCACCGTCCCCATTACCTTTCAAGATGGCGCAGAGAACTGTGAAGGGGACTATTTTTTATTGTAAAATATGGGGAGTCATTGCCGATCATGGTTAATATATAATATCAATATATTACTATCAATAGTTATTTAATAATGAGTTAGCAACAAATTATGCAGTTAGAGAGTGGCATACCTTCATCACTTATGGGATCCCAGTAGACCTTATGGAATTTATACAGCCCTTGACATATCTGCTGTGTTAGAGTGAAGGGTTTTATTTCATCACTGAATGGTGGATAGCCTGCAAGACTGGAAAATACAACAGTTTAGAGGTTGACCTACTAAACAAATAAATGAGATACCAACCACAGTCAGAGATGGCAATTCATTAGGTCAACCAACACATGAACTGCTTGTCAGCAAACTTGAAGTGAGCACAACTCTGGGATGCATTATCACTGATTTCATTGCTACCTATCCTCGCCAGACACAAATCTAGACTTTTAAGCTAATAGTTTAGTTTTCTGTTAATCTTAAATATCGAATTTACCAAACCCGGCTTCTTTGATGTCTGTAACCAAGTGCAAAGTACAAAATGCATGTCGAAGGGTGCATACTAATGAAATCGGTGGTAAAATGTCAAAAGTGTATTTTGCAGAGATCTTCTTGCATGAAAATACATGACACAAGAAACATAATTATGATCCCTGACAATATTCACACTGTTAAAACTGGCCATCAAAGGCTCAAAACATATTTCCCTCATACTAAAGTTTTACAATAATAAGTTTTTGTCTAAACATGTTATATTTTTTCTAAATAATCACCAGACAAAGAGCATAACTCCAAGACTCCAGCAGTCAACAGCTTTCGAATAACCCCCTTGTCCTGAGGAAGCCAGGACTTCTGGTGCCAAGTAGCTTGGTGTGCCGCACAAAGTCTTCATCAGACTTTGCTCTCCAACCATCTTTGATAGTCCAAAATCAGTGACCTGTTAGATTAACAAGATGAAGGGTTAAAATCACAAGAAACAAATCCTTTTTTCCTGTCCTTTGGTACATGCTATTTCAGGTAAGCCTTTCTAAACAAAACACAAGTAAAATCCCCCCCCCTGCATTGAAGATACCTTGATTAATGTGTCATCCTTGTCTGATGCTAACAAAACATTTTCAGGCTGAAAAATAAAAGTATAAGTTGACTTTATATAGGGATTTATCAGCATACAACACATTTAAGATTTGTGTTAAGCAAGCCATTGATTGATTACCAAAGATTTGCTTTCATATCATACTATTATGTTGATGGCATAGAATAACATGCAGGTAAATTAAAAAAAAGTATTATGGTGGTTGATGAGATGTTATCTACCAAGTTACATAAGGCAATAAAATAAGCAAACACTGACCTTCAAGTCTCTATGTGTAATCCCTTTGTCATGAAGGTACTGTGAAATAACAACAGCATGTTTATTTACATGTAGGTATAAATAAGTCCAAATAATACTCACTTCTTAGTAGACCAAAATACTAGTTACTAGAATTACTGATTGTATACATAAGTATTTCAAGGGAAGATAATCCATAACACTGAACATTGCTATGTCCCACAAGCTTGACAAATAATCTAGAATATCTCAGAATCTAAAACTCTGATTGCAAAAAATTGATTGTATATTGTTTCAATAGTTTACAGTCCTGTGAAAAGAATAGAGAATTGCCTCGTAATCCTTGTAGTACTCTCTAAAACAGATACTGTACTGTGTAGTTGTTTGTGGAACAAGATTTAAATTCAATTGGGAAAACTGCTGCAACAGTGATTGGTTCACTATTGTCTGAGTCTGAACTATTCGCATACGATGTTGCCTACGATGTTGCTTGCAATGGGGAAATCACACCGTGTCCACCCATGCAATTATTATGTGTGACGTACCCTGTAACCACCTGTGCGCCTGCTGCATTGCAGAAGTAGAAACAAGTTCTACTTTCGTGACACTGCCACCATAGTTGCAAGGGTAGACACATGGTGTGATTTCCCAGTGCAAGCAATATCTCAGACAATTCCCTTACTGCATCCCCTTACCTTGACAGAAATGAAAATTTGGTAAAAAAGTAATTTAACACAATTCTCCTCAATTCGTCTTTGGTTTTTGATCCTGTCAAACAGTTCACCACCTTCAACTAATTCCAAGACAATGTAGAGGTTATCTGGAGTCTCGAATACATCTTCTATCTTGATGATCGTTGGATGATCTAAAGCTTTGAGAATTTCTACTTCATCTTTGGTAGATGCTGCCTGTGTGCTGACTGAGAACTGCTTTTTGCTTATAATTTTGACAGCATGTCTTGAACAGTTGCCTTTGGTGAAACATAACCGAACCTCTCCACATGCACCTCTACAAGATTAGGAAAATGTATGTAATTATGTTTAGAAATAACAAATAATATTTTATGTAAAGAATGAGATCCAAAAGTTGTTGCTAGTAGGTTAACAGCCAATAACCAACCATGTGTTAACCATGTTGCTAGTCTACTCAAATACCCTGACACAAAAATAATCTACTAACACTTTACCAACACCTTATACTGTAATAAATTGCCCTACATTACCAAAACTTTATTGAAAACCCTATTGACATCTTAACCAACACCTTACTGATAACCCTACCAACAACCTTCTGATACCCTATCAGCACCCTATCAATGCCCTACCCTACCAACACCCTACTGACTCGAAACCTACCAACAACCTACTGACACCCTGCCAACAACCTACTGATACCCTATTAGCACCCTATTAATCCCCTACCCCAGAAACACCCTACTGACTCCC